TGTATTACAAAATATTCTAATTTATGCAATATTACTGATTTATTTTGTTATTGCGTAGCGCCTGATAATTTGAATGATCGACCGGAATGCGGTACATATGGTTGTCGAGGTATAGGACATGTAAAGGGACCTAAATTTGCAACACATAACTCGGCATCCGGTTGTCCGTACTCTCTTCAAAATCTAAATAAATTGGTACAGATGCCTGATAGACTTAGTTCATCAAGACACGAACCCTATGATTTTGAAGAGGAAATACAGGAAAAATCAAAACTAGAGAAGACTGATAAAATAAAGATGGAAAAGTGTGAAAAATCTGATAAACTTTTGTTCACAGATGATAGGTTATTGATAATTGATAAGGAAATTAAACAAGAAGATGGAGATTTATCCGATAAGAACGATAAATTTGAAAATAGATCAGAAAATTCAGAAAAGTATGTCGAATATAGCGAAATGAAATTAATATGAATATATGTTGAATGAAATAAATATTATTTATTGATATTTTTGTTTCATAGATCGAGCAAATCTAAACATTTGCATAGTGATGGACAAACGGATGATGATGAAGTTTCGAGAAAACGAAAAAAAAGGTTTGTTGGAAAAACATTGATTTTTTTCCTTATTTTTATATTTATATTTATATAAAATTATAATTTAACATTAAATTTTAGACGTCCAATTTCGGAAGACTCTTTGTTTTCCGTTTCCAATATTACATATAATGATCTACATTGGAATCCTGTCTCATATGCTGCAAATATGCCAGATAAACAATTACGTAAAGAATTGTATCAATCTGTATATAATCCTGGATATAATCCATTGCCAAATGCACCACATGTATGGGCGAAACATAGCAATGCTTTAAATAGAGTAGTAGCAAGGCAGACCACAAATCCACGAAGATGGTCTAATGAAGAAGTGATTAAATTTATACAGAGTATGCCTAATTGTGCAGAAGCTGGGAATGTTTTTAGACAGCACGTAAGTTTTAATACTGCAAATGCAGTACAATTATATACAACTTAGTTTGTTAACTATTTAAGACATGTTACACATACATATTTATTATTTTATACATATATTATTTCATATTACCGCATTGCAGAATATTGATGGCGAAGCATTTTTAATGTTGACACAAGAGGACTTGGTATCAGTATTGTGTTTACGACTTGGGCCTGCAATTAAGTTGTATAATAGTATAGTTTTATTACGTCAGAAAGCATCATGAATTGTGCATGAGCAAAGCATGTGTTATTGACTGGCGAATCATGGAATATGGCAGCTATTATGATGAGATATATCGCCTATTTAAAACATTAATAAAAAGGTAACACAAAATAAATTTTTTGCAAAAAAATTTCAGAACTGTGTCACTTTTTCGTATGTTATGCCAATAAGCAAGCTGGAAACGAATGAGAGAAAAACGTGAGCATAACATAAGCACCTGATTAAACAGTTCTGAAATATTTATTTCATCTAAATCGAAATCTGAAAAAAAAAAAGATTTATTGCAAAAGCGAAAATACTTATATAATGTATGTTTTATTCGATACATATGATGTATGTTTAATTTGGCAGTTTTGTATATCAGTTCTGTCAATTGCGATATGTATGATAATTCAGGATCATGCATTGCTCATAAGTACTTACAATCATATATGACAAATTTTTCTTATAAAATAAGTGTATTGTGAATCGTGTACAAATGTAAATATTGTTTTAATCATTAAGTATTGTAATAAAATATGCAACCTTTCCACCTAATCATGCTGCATATATTTCTAAGTTTAATCAAAATTATTTTATTTAAAAAAAGGACATAAAAGAAATTTAAACATGTCTGAGATATTTCGATTTTTTAAGTCGAATAAATAGATTTATTCTTTATAGATACATGTGCTATGTTAATCTTTCTGTACTCGAGATAAGATAGATAATATATTAAGTTTTTCAGAGAGGAAGAGAGGAAAAAATAATAAAGACGTGCAACTACAAAGAACAAAGTTATATACATGGGTTGTGTATGTATTGCGATTTTAGTTTGCATTACGTCGATGCATTACGTCGATGCGTTTCGATATTTTGAGAATTGCAATATTGCTCTTTCAAGTCGCAATCTATCTCGGAACACGATAGATTATAGATTCTGTATTTCTCATGATTGTTATAATTTTAAAACTGAATCTACGCGAAAAATTGATAAGAATATAAAGTGATATATTTGTTGTTTCGATATATTAAATACGCGTAAAATTGTCATATACTATTACGATATCGATGTCAATAATTCGTTTTTGTTTGTCTGGAATTAATCGAAATTTTATTTTGCTTCTTTATTTCGTCGCCGATAGTAAAAATGCAATTGTAAATAATATCGTTGAAAATATATCATTATCATATAATTAATCGCATTGACATGTATTTTGCATTTTTATTTACTAAAAATATTTTGAAATTGCTAATATAATTATATTTTAATATATTTAGTTCAATTAGTAGTCGATAGAATAAATTTTTACATTCCATATACATTTGTGTCTGAAGCAATATTATTTTTCTATCTTTGTATATTTCATGAAATATTTCTACGAATATTTTTGTCTTATACTGCTATTATCAAATAATATATTCCATGATTATTCTAATCAATATAATATATTAAACTTGCGTATTTTTTTCATAGGACTAAATCTATGGACAATATATATTATTCATTACTGCGAAGTTACCGACGAACAAATATATCAAGGATCTTGAATTATTCCTAGACATACACCGAGTCCATTTGGTAGTTACAAAATTTTACTTTATAAAATATTAATAGAAAAAATATTATAATCAATTATATTTTTTTCAATGTGTATCGTGATTGTTAAGATGAATATTGATATTCAACATATCTTTGTAAATTTTAACAATGAATTTTTTCTGAGTAAGTGTTCGACTGAAGGTTTATTATCTACTGCTGCTCTGTATTATTTGATTGAGTTCCGATGCGATACGATATATACATAATATATTTGTATGTGTATGATAAATACATTATTTGTATATTTATATATACGTAAAGTATATTTATCATATATTAATAATCATTAATGTTTAATTTTTATTAAATTGGAGCAATCGAGAGATTACTTATAAAAATTTGTAAAATTAAGTTACTATGCAGGCAGTTGTAAAAATATTTAATTTATTAATATTTTGTAAAAATACTATTATTTTTTAACAAACAAATTTTCTACAGTTTATATATATATATATATATATATATATTTATATAAACATATATATATATATATATATATATATATATATATATAATCAGAATATTATATTATAAATTAAATATTTTCTATAGCGTTCTTACACGTGTACATAGTAGGAAATTTTATTTTTTAAGACTACTACTATTTATATTAAACAATAATTAATATTTTTATAATGATATACATTTTATAATTATGCACATACACAAGTACTTTGAAAAAGATTGCTATATTCAATTATTCAAAATTTTCTATGATATATTGTCAAGTTTGTTAAAATCAAATGGACAACACTATGATGTTCTCGATTAAAGAAATACTTGTGATTTAAAATAGAAGTTATTGTTTGGAAACCCAAGAATTTAAGATACATTCTATTTGTATATAAATATTAATGTGGAGAATTTTAAACTATAAAATATCTCCATTTTATTGAGTGTAGTCTGGCATCTTTCTCTTAGTGTATTTTGTGCAAGAGGAGATAATGATTTACGAATTGCTGAAATTTGACGTTCATTTCATCGGAATTTAATAATTTTTAGTATATATTTTTATTGAATTTTGTGTTTTCTTCGGGGATTCACGAAAATTGCCTCCGAAAATCGATGTAATCAATGCATAAGAGAAAAAGAATAACATTAAATTAAAAAAAAAAATACTTAACAAAGTTAAATTGTTAATTTTTATACACAAAATGCGAAATTTTGAATCAAACATAAATTTCGAAGCGATTCAATCGATATGAATCACATGAGAAACAATATTGTATATAGAATATAAAGCGTAACATATATATATATATATATATTTTTTTTTCAGATACTCATATTCGTAATCAACATATACGTATATTTTTGTTTGGAATAATATTTTACGTCGTTCGTCAATCGTGTTGTTTGAAAAAACATGTATACATTCTCGCGGTCTATCCCCTCTCTCGCGCGGCTGTTGGCACCACTTCCCCCCTCCCACCAACCGGCGACGTACCTGCTATGGCGATGTTTACAGCGTAGTCACGGCAACGGCTCATGTGATCAGTCGACGAAGCGTCGCGCGCCGGGCAACAGTGGATGTTCGTGGTGCGCGAGACTCGAATTGCGTTTCGCGTCACGCCGTGACGACCTGTTACTTTCCCAGAGTTGACAGCTCGACAATCATACGGACAGTCCCCGATTTCGATGAGACGCGAAACGGGCGGCTCATTGTTGGCGCGCGACGCGAATTCCGATTCGATCATTCGAAGCGTCCGGGAAAGAGTGACGCGCGCGAATGCGAACTTGACAAATACGAGTGCGTGAGTTGCGTTATCGATGTTTGTTTTCTCCCTCGACGCGATGTCGTGACAAGTTTCATCGCGTGCAAGCTTTTTAGGGAAACCTACATATACGTGTATACAGTCGAGTTTGAATTTTCCGAAAATTCGGGAGCTACGACATGAAGTGCGTCGCGAGACATCAGCGCCGATCGACGTCGCTGCGAGATTCAAACTTTAGTCGTTCGCGCGAAGTGATATAAGACGGACGCGATCGATAGGAGATCCGACGCGAAAATGACGTGTCGCGAATATGATTGACGGACGATCGAGGAGCTTCAGGAATTTGAGCGTCGCGAGAGAGAGAAGAGGAGGGAGGGTGTCGGCGACGCGCGACGTCGCGTCGAGTTGGCGGGAAGGATTCGCGGAGTGATCCGTCAGGACGATCGAGTTTTTCGCGGCGTGTTATGATTCGTTCGTTTTCGTTCGCGAGGCGAAACGACGACGGCGATGACCTAACAACAACGGCGTGGTCGTCGATGAACCTCCACGATAGATGCGTGGATCTCGCGGTGGTGGTGGGACAAGGGTGGTCCCGCAAGTCCGTTAGCAGCCCCCAGGCTGCTCGTACGCCGCTCGTCGTCGATCACGGCGCCAGCCACGGTGCTGCCGGCAAGATGCCACGAGGTCTACCGACGAGACGCGGCCTCCAGACGTTGGCTCTCGTCATCGCTACTGCCTATGCCACGATTCTTCTCTATCAAGCTGTCGCACCGCGTCAGGTAATTGGAGCAATCGTCGTATTGTACCTTGTTGCGCGCGCTCATTGTCGATTTTACGTTTCGTTTGCGGGTGACTTTCAACAAGGTTGCTCGAATTCGGTTGATAAACGCGGGTATTGTTTCTCGATTAATTGCTCGCTTCGCGTATATCGAGTTGTCCGTTGTATTTTTGTCTGTGTATATAAAGAGGAAAAAATTTATATTCAACATGTTTGCAGTTGAAATTGTCTGCAATTACATAGACAGACGTAGGAATTTGATAATGTAAATATCTATGAAAACATTTTGTTTCGCACTTTATATTTCGACAATGATTCATGATTACCAGTGTATGATGTATATTTCGAAAACTGATGATTATTAAATAATTTAAATTATTTAAATAATTCATGATTACTAGGGTATGATGTATATTTTGATAACTGATGACTATTAAATAATTTGCTAATAATTGATATTATTCGTTATGAAATAATAATTATAATAACGCAAAGCATCGTCGAGAAGATCTCATAAATAGAGTTCTCGCGAGGTCTCATCAAATTCTACTGTTTTGATCGTATAATTTGTATTACAGTGGATCGACGAGATGAACGCGGCGGAAGTGAATAGTCGGAGCGTGATAGTGGAAGTGCCGGCGTCGAGGAAGTTAATCAGCGAGGAATCGCCGGTGACGTTGCCGGTGGCGACGGCGACCATGGCACCGTTTGCAACGAACCTCAACGATGTATTTATCAGCGTGAAAACCACTAAACATTATCATCACTCGCGTTTACCGGCCATCATCGACACGTGGTTTCAATTCGCCAAGAATCAGGTGAGAGAGAATCTCGTTTATTAGATGCGTGTAATGTCCGATATCTCGGATTAATTAGCGTCGCTCGATCCCTCCGTTTCTTGCGCTTGCAAGACTCCGGACTTGTTTTCTGGTGGTCTTGTTAGCATGGAAAATATCTTCGATTCACGAGAACGTTTATTATTCTAAAATATATAGAAGATATCCCTTATTTATTACATTTATATATATTAATGACATATTGGATATATTAATCAATTTTTATTTATTATACATTAATTATCTTTATTAGACGTATGAATTTTAATTTAATTTCTACTTTATCGCATATTTCGCTATCATGGATCTCGAGCTATTTAAATCTATTAATTACTCACGTGTAATTAAATATCAACTATTTTATTTGCTATTATTAAGCGTATTTAATAATATTAACGATTAATATTGAGTTTTAAGAGGATAACATACATTTAACGATTAGAATAAGTGATATCTTTAAAAGGAGAATTCGAGAGGCGTAGATTAATCGTGTTAAAGCGTGATAAATGTACACATAATTTTATCGCGTCGTTTTCATCGTCGAGAAATTCATCTGTTTTCTGGAGGAACAGGATAGGCAACACTTTGTATACGATTTGTTGAGTCTTATCCAAGGGTATCGAAGCGTATTCGCGAGAGTTGAGGCATATTTGCGCGTATTTACAGTAGGCCATGTCGGGAAATCAGCGTAAATTCATGATCTCTTGCATCTCGTGGGAATGAAATTTATTCCACTTATCCTTCCTCTACAATTTCTCACATTTGTCTCTTCCCAAAATATCACTGGTTCCTTGTGTGTTCTCTGTAAACAAAGGATAAGATATAAGTTATTTAAAAAGTTATCTAAAAAAATAACAAAGGATAAAATATAACTTATTTAAAAAGTTATCTAAAAAAAAACAATCAATTTCATTCTAGGACAATAAATCGCGAAACAATTTATGACGATATAAATATTAAGAGGAGATTTCAATTTATTATTATTAAACTTGTCGCTTCTTTGTATCTAAAAAAAATAATAAATCTCATTTTAAAACAATAAATTGCAAAACAAATTGTTGTTTTTTTAGATATAAAGAAACGACAAGTTTAATAATAATAAGTTGAAATCTCTTCTTGATATTTATATCGTCACTAACATCGCTATCTTTGTTTACATACAAGTTATATAAAATTATCTGTTTGTCTTTTAGATTTAAATTATTTACAGATTATTGCCTATAATACATATTTAGAAAATTATGTATATATGGCAAAGAATTTTGAGTAATTGTATTATTCAGTTTCGTACGAGAATTGATAGGGCAACGAATTTCTTGAACAAATGGTAATTAATACTGATGAAGAGATCTTGAGAAGTTCTCACACACCGGTATAGTGAATAAAGAAACGGATATATAAAGAAACTCTTGTGCATCTCTGAGAGCAGCTTCCGCGTCCTTCGATGTTTCTCCGGGTTAATATACCGTTCCTCCAGGTAATTGCTACTTGGATTTGCACGAGTTCACGCATTTCCTGTAGTCTCAGCTGACTCTCTTTTTCTTACCGTACTCCTCAGAGAACGAAAGCGTATAAGATGAATTAGTCATAGGAGACATTGTCTTGTATTGTTTATTGATATCTTGATTCAATTTCATCTGTCCATTTCATGTTCGATTTGTTCATTTGGTTTCATTCATTCGAATACATCCTTTATTGATGTCTAATTTGGAGCTTTTTTTATTACATTGTCTTCCATCTTGAGATTTTCACACACAGTATTCTGTTATTAATTTATGATTATAATAATCTATAAATTTAAATATTTAATACATCATATTTTTTTTATTTTATTCTCAAATTAATATAATATTAAATTAATTTTATAATATATATGAATTGTAAATTTATAGTATAAATGTCTATCTTTTATATATTCATATCTTACATTCATGATTTTATTATAAATATTAAAATTTTATATATTCTCTCTCTCTTTTTCGCAAGAATACAATTTATATATAGTAGAAAAATTGTGCTGTTTTCAAGATTTACCTCTTTCTCTCTCAAAATGAATATGATTATATATATTTTAATACGAATTAAAAATAAAAAATCAATATTTCATATTTTTTTATTAAATTTCTTACATTAATAAGGAATTTTCACAATTTTCATACCTTTGTTCACGTATCTTAATTCTTTGCTCCTGACAATCTCACGCTTTTTCTTTGCATACGCTTATGTTGCTCATAATTTGCGGTACGCATTTTCCGCGACGCGAGCGAGAAAAGGGGCGATGGGAATAATAAAAGTCTGTGTCCGGCTGTGCACTGTTTCTGTTTCGTGGGAAGATCTCACGATTTACCTCCGACCCTGACGACCTCCGTGTTAACCAACTTAGTCCATCCACGAGCATTCTCAACTCACCTTTTCGTTGTTTCTTTCTCGATAATTAAGCGATGCGCCGCGATTATGCGAATCGGTCGAAGCGTTATTCGCGAAAGTGATCGAGATTATCGATTTTCTTATATTCATTGTTGCAGAGATTTAATACATTATTGATCGTTTTTTTTTATTTATTGATTATAATTTGATATAAAAGAACTTTTATATTATAAAGATTATCGATTAAAACCATTTGATTTATATTTATAGCTATCTAATTGAATAATTAATCAAATATATTTTTAGAAGAGAAATGGTTCAATTATATACATTTATAATGAAAGTTTAGATGCGTTTCAAATATTAATTTGAAATATATATTTGCAAGAAATATTTGCGAGAAACTTTCAAAAACATAAATCAATAATTTCTATCAATTAAAGGGCTCATTTCTTTTCCTTGCAAAATTAAAAATTCACGATTCATTTTACGGTAGGTGATTTATCGCAGTGAAGATAATAGACTCAGCTAGAAACCTGACCACTTGCCTGAGGTTTCAAATTATCTGCGGGCCAATGTCTCGAAGATGCAGATCGGTTTCTTTATATGCTTGCAAATTTCTTTTGTTTCCACGAAACAATTTTAATGGAATAGATAGCAATATTATAAATTTCAAACAAATATGTAGAAAAGAGAAAATTTCAGCAAATTAAAATTAAAATCGTTAAAATTATTTCTGATTTATCTTTTTTTTAATTTTTATTAAAAAAACTTACTTTTATTAGAAAACTGTTTCAAAAATTATTAATTAAGATAGTGCCTTATTATAATTAATAACATTATTGATATAAAAATACAATTATATAAATAATATAATTAAAAAGTATAATTTATTTTATTAATTTTTATTTTTTTTCTTCTTTTTAAAATTTTAAAATAAATTCGTAATTTCAAAAAAAATCGCGTATAATACTGTTTATTGTTAAGATATTGAGTTTCTCTTTCAAATTGGACAGAGGTGAGCGAGAAAGGTCGCAATGTTTTGATTATTAATGTGTCGTATAATTCTTCAAGGAGCGCGTTTTAATAATGCGCTCCATTGAGGAGGAACATTGATTTGCTGTTGGCACAATCCCTATATTCGTCTTTGTCCCCTCGACTACTGCCTTACCTTACGATGCTGTTAATGGCCTTTAATGACCACATTTATACATCTCGCCAGCTATTTCTTTTCTCCTCCTTACGTGCCTGGTATGGTTATGTGGCATAAAATGGGGTTAAATCGTTAATAGTTATTCGATTCGATTCTTAAATTGCCCTCCCTCGAGATCCGCCCTGAAAACGCGAAAGCTCTTAGAGTTGATATTCCGATTATAATATGGGTAGAAATTACGTAGTTATAATATTTTTTATAGTGATTGTCCTAAAACTTCAAATTTAAATTATAATGACAATATATTTAACCATCTATTGTAGTCTTTATTATTAAATATTTAATAATTTGTGGGAATAATCTCATAATAGATAAATTTTTGCTATTTAATTGCATCTTAAAATGATTACAAAGATGATTACGAAGAGATTTTTCTTTAGAATTTTGCTGAAGTAATTTTACGCTGAGTAATGATTTTTTTTAAATTTTAAACTATTTCATGCCATTATTAAGATTCACAATTCGACGGAATCTTTTATTATGCTTTTCTTTAAATTTGATAGTCATGCCTTTCGATTATCGTGTCATAAAACGGAGGTGTGGACACACATTTCTAAGTACAAATTTTCGTGATTCATAAAAAGAAATTCCTTTGAAATCTCGACAGTTGATCGTGGGTCAAAGTCTGGTGTTGTTACTTAGAATGACTCGGCCGATATTGCAATCCCCCAATCGACGAAGTCTGTTCTCCAGTCAGAATTGGTTTTGGATAATTGGTTGATTATTTCGGTTATTTAAATGTCTCATAAAAGGTCCGACACAATTTCGCACGACGTATTGTGGAGCACCAATGAGAGCTCGCTACGAATTATTTTCCCTTAATTTATATTGCTCTTATATATTCGATGAATCGCTGCATCGATTTGCAATTGACCCAATGCGATATAATCATCACACTATCGATACTTTTTATTTGGTTTAATTAACCTTTATTTAATCTTTTCTAATTGAGGAGAAGTTAGTGCGAGCAGACAGACTGAAACTTTTGAAAGAATCAAGTGCAAAAAATATATAGTTTTATAAATAATTCCTCAAGTATTTGTGTATGTATTGGATTTTTTATTCATTATCTATATTTATTTATTATACTTATTTATGTACAAAGAATATTAATGAGGTATCTTAGAATGTAGCATCTTCCTATGTCTTGTATTAATAGCATTAATTGATTAAATCTTTAAAAATTATAATTAATTACATTTTTTATTAGATGTAGTTTTCTAGAATTTTTCATTTTGCATTGAGTCAAAAGTTTGAGTCATATTTTATCAAACATTGTCACATGTATTGATCGAGATAATATTTATTTAATTTAAAAAATTCCTTTTTGATAAATATATTTCAAATTTTAGAAATAATTTTTTAATATATATATATAGAGGTATATATACATACAATTTTTTTATTGTATATTTAAGAGAGTGACATGCTCTATTTTGGAGATTGGCAGTAGGCGATGTTTGTGTTTCAACGATCAAGTTTCATACTGTAAGACGAATTTGTCTCGTCTAATTAGATGTAACGAGCGAGACTTAACACGGTTTTATGCTCTTTACACATCCATAAATGCCGGGTATCGTGATACTTGTACGACTTAGGAGCGAAATGACCGACACTCGGGACGACTTAACGAATTCCTGCGAAAAGCCCGAAGATCAGCTTGATGACGGCTCTTTTAAGTACGACGTACGTGCGGGATTAATGCAATTATGTCGTTGTAATGCGATGCCGGTGCCACTGACGTCATCGCGATACATTTGTCTTTTATTTTTGTATACGACGTTTATTCGTTACCGGATATTCATGTTCTTTCTGGGAACGCTGACGGCTTTTTCTCCCTCTTTTTCTCTATCCGCATGCCTCAGATAAACGCGTCACAATTGTAGCGTCTTCTTACTCGCGCTATTTTTACGTTCGGTGCACCCCGTTTGATATCCGGTTTAATTACATTTGAAAAATGGCGGTGAATTGATCAAAACGCGCAATCGACTAAATTTACATTTTAAAACTGCCACTAATTAAATCATTAATTGAATGGCTTGTTAGTCTAGTTGAAACATTTTAATTTCATTCTTTAATTAAAATAGTTAGCATCTGTGCATAACTTGTATATTATCCAATAAACAAATGTCAGTCAACATAAAACATTGAGATAACTAATTAATAATCGCGCCGAAATTCTTATGAAATTTTTTAAAGTATAATTCCAGCGGAGAAAATGACAATTTATGTTAAAATTGCGCTAAAATTGCGGTGAACTGATCGGACATTTTCTTGTGGAATTTTCTTCGGCTTTCTTTTTCAGCAATTTATAGGACCGATGCGATATATCGCCACGTGAAAATCATTGGGACAATGCATCTGACATCTAGAACATCGTCTCACATTCGGTCGTTCTTGTACGTTCACTTCCTGAAGGGAAACTACTCTTGGGAACTAAAAATAAGCGACTACTTTAACACGTGCAGTGTATGCCGATCGTAACGTAACGACGCCGCGATATGTTCGAGTCCAGATGCAACTGCTACGGAAGGGTGCGCGATGCGACAGATACAAATGGAGAGCCTCGGCTTGCGGCGCTTCGAGATAAATTTCCCAATGCGATAGAACACACGAGGAACCTGAATGATTTTTGATTGAACGTATGCCACTCCATCACAGTTTTATGCCTGCTATGAGTTTTCTCTTTGTAATCGTTTAACCAAATTTTGATTAGATTGGATACATTTTTAATCAAAAATTAAAAAATCATTCTAATGATAAATTACTTTTATTTTTTTTTTCTTTGAGAAATTTAATTTTGCCATTTAAGCATTTTTTATACATCTAACAGTTAAGAAATCTTGAATTATAAGATTGCAGATTTAAATATTTTATATTTGATATTCTCTTCTTCGTGTGTATGTGTGACGCGGTAATACGAGTTAAGCTTGAAATGCTGTTATTGTTTATGAACAAGTCAGTCACGATCGAAATATGAAGCTATACGTATGCAAGAAATATTATCCTTTGGCATTGAATTTTTCTCAAAATATCCTCATTTTGTATTTTGCCTAACATTTTTGTAGATCTAGTATTAGTTCAAACATACTCTTTTGCTTATTATGTTATATTTCGTTTGATAATTATAATAAATCTCTTGATTGATTTCTAATTAAAAGAAATATTGTTATCTCTGTTGATGTCGCGCATGATTATAACAAGATCTGAAGCATTAAGCATGATCCTTTTTCATCGAATATTCATTTTTATCTCATATCTTGTTTGATTCCGCCTCGCGAATATAAATGAAAGGAGTGCTTCGTAAAGTGCTTCAAGGTTGTAAGATTTATTACGTATTACTGACATGGATGGAGCGATCCGTATCGAGGGGATAAAAAAGAGATTGAAATTTATGATCGATACATGTTGTTTGCCTCGATAGTCTGCGGTAAACAATCAAACGCGTACGTGCTGTAGCGAGATTATTGTGCCGCATTGGATGTGGAATCGAAAAAGGACTGTATCAAAATATAACGATTATTTTTTGTTTCTGTTTACAGACCTGGTTTTTCACCGATAGAGACGACCCGTATTTCCAAAATCAAACCCGTGAGTACTTGCCAATGATTTTTTCCAAACTGATTAAATCTTGCAAAGAAATAACCTATATATATATATACAATTTTATTATTTACTTACTTATTATACTTATCGTTTATCTTACTTTGTCAATTTTATTTAGAAAAATGTGATAAAATTATATGGTTTCTAATGTTAACTTAATATTTACTATTCAACAATTTAACAAAGTTTAAATCGTAAAAATAATCAGATTATATCTATAGCGTTTAATATTTTATTAATAAATCATATAAAATGGATTGTATATGTATATATACATGAGAAAAAATAATTTTGAATTAAATTAAAAAATTTAATCATGGGAATATTACATGATAATAAATTAATCGATAATTCTTGTTATTAATCCATTACATTAAAAATTAATACTTGGTCCTGCTGGGTTTATAATATTGATATTTTTTAAAAAGTTAGTTACTAAAATTAATTTATCGTTTGAGTTAAATCATTAATTTAGAGGATTAATCATGAAACTATCAGCTTTAATATGATTATAACAGTAATAATAATAGTAATAATAATCTCGTATTTTCTACATTCTGATCTCGTATTTTCTTACATTCTGATTTTATCGGTTATAGTGTTTTAAAAAAAAAGTTATATACTGGATGAAATTAACGCATAATTTTTTTTTCACATTTTCTTTAAATTGATATTAAAATTTTAACGAAGTATTTTAAAGAAAAAGTGAAGAAAAATTATGCGTTAATCTTGTCCAGAAGTATATATTTGTTGAAATTGATGGCGACGATATCGATTCATTTAGTTTCACCAATCAACAATCTCAAGATCGTAAGAAACATTTATAAAATGATGATGCGAGTACCTAAACGGTTTCCGTACAAATGGTTCTATTAAAAAAGAAGCCCGAGCGAAATATATGTATTCCTCTTTCGTGTAATACGAGGCACGGATAATTACGACGGCGGGCCTTAATGGCTGCTCTCGTTTATGCGATAATTGCTGGCGAAACGAACGCGTGTGCAGGAGCTCGTCTTGTTCGCTCGTAGAAGCTGAGTCGCTCGTCAATCATTTCGAAAGTTTAGTCATATCTACGTCTTGGCCGTCTGTTCGGAGTCGGATTGAGGCGCGATTTATTTTGGATAATTGCTTGGGGCGTCTTTTTAAATCTAGAGCGCCGAAACAACGAAGAAGTAATTCCGTTTATATATCTGCTTTATTATTTTATTATTTAATATCGCGAAAGGATAATCTTTTTAGCGAGTGGAAAAAAAATTTAAATTAATTCAATTTAATTTTGATAATTTCCTCAAAATCAATCAATTTGCTAAACTTGTCGCGTTTTGTACATTTTTTCTATTATAAATTTATTACAGTAGTTCATGTTAATATAAATTAATATATTATGCAATAGATTGATTATATTCTTATTCTTGATTTGCATCTATAAGAATTTTATTATATTTAAGAACATAAAAATATTTTACTACTGATCTTATTTTTGCTGATAAATAATGTTATGCTAGAGAAGACTTTATATTATTCCGTTAGCATCGCGCGTGAATTTGTTAACACGTCGGTATCAGATAATTATCTAACGATCGAAGCATCAGGTGTCCGATAAAGAGAAATCGATACATCGAAAAAGATAGAAGGCACGTGTGTGAATTGTTCTCGAATAAACTCGACGGAATTCTATAGGCATGCTAGATGGACCGGTTTGCAAGTTCCTCACATAAGCAGCCTCGTTGCACGAGCCTGCAGAGTAATCGATCGATCAATAGCCTCCCTATATATGGAATTTAAAGTTTAGTAGTATTTCAGAATAAAAATATATGATATTTACAAACATTGTATTATAATAATCATATTAATTTATTTCAATTAACATATTCTTTATTTAAGAAATAGCTAACTGTTTTAATTAATAGAACATATTAAAGCAAGCTTTTCGCTTTTTTCTTTTTTTTTCTTCTTTTTTTATTTAAATGATAAAAATTTACAACATTAGTGTTTTTTCACAACTGTGTTCACAAACGTCAGTTTGGCGAACCTATTGTTAAATATCTGAGATAATAACAGCGACGGCGCATTTTAACCGGCAATATCATTGCCAGCCTACTATAGAATGCATCTCAATTGCACCCTCGGGCGCGGATGCAAATGACGAGCAGGCGGAGAAAGCGGATGATGAGAAACGGCCAAAGAAGGGCGAAAAGATGCACCGGGAACGCGAATAATATTACGCAGCAGACGAAGTTTTCGTTCGCGTTTGAACACAATCGTGATATTATTTTTGTCCGAGAGCAAGAAACAAAAAAAAAAGAAATTGCAAAGGGAAAGTATTACGATCACAAGATCCTTCTCATACATTAGATAAGATGATCGAAAGCTCACTTAAATGACGAATACGAGAGATGATACGTATGATAATCGAGAATACTCCCTCGCATAAAAAGATGACCAAGTTCGCGCGGATTATTATGACGCGGGCAGGCGCCCCCCTTAATAAACTCGGCATTATTTCATGCGTCGCTCATAACTCGGACCACGCATTAGTCACGAGCGGAGGCAGGAGCGTGGGTGGACACGAGTTCCAAGAAGGATAATATCGGGTGCGGAAGAACGCAGGAGGAGGGATGAGCACGCGAACCCTCGGGCACCGTCCGACATTTGACCTCACCACGCGCTCTGCACCGGTTTGCACCTCCGCATCGGCCATTTCTCATTACCGTTTCTACCTGATTCGAACCCGATCCGCTCTTCGCGGTTCATCCAGTTGTGGGATGTTGCTGACAACTTTGCACGCCGGAGATCTTGTACGATTTTTTCGAGAGAGCAAAGCTGTTATTTATAGAAATTCTAGTTTTCGTTTTTCTCTTTCGTCAATTATTTACACTGAGAAATATGCAATACAATTTTTTAAGCTTTATTACTTTAATAGAATATAATAGAAAAATTAATAGAAAAATAAAAACAAATATATATATATAAAATTATATAAAAATATATAAATATATAAATTAATAATATAAAAATATAAAGTAAAAAAATATAAAATAATAACATATAAAATAATAAAATATAAATATAAGAATATATATATAAAATATAAAAATATATAAATAAAAAATACATAATTTATATATATAAATATATAAGTTTATAAATATACAAGTTCGACAAAAAAAAGAAAAGGCGAGATAAAATTATTGCCGCAATCATAATAACGTGAGTAGAATGACTTTGACCTATTCGTAACAATAACAACAATAAATTCACCCTTTTTATCACTGTAATAGATAAGTGAATTACGACCTTGTTATTGAATGTTGTTGTTATGGCCAGATCAGTCACAATCGAGACGCGAAACTATACGGAAGCATCGTAAGTACTATCCTTAAAACGAAATTTTTTTAACGAAATTTTATTTCCTGATTTAATTTAAATTATAATAATTATCTCCAACTTACGATATTGATTAATTGGCGAAGGATATATTCCGTATATGTGCCCGTGTGTAGTATCGCGATATATCCTCGAAAAGGTATTAGCGCTCCTGAAGAAGCGATGAACCATCAGTTCGAATTAATTAGATCGCTGAACGCGGCTCATAAGGATAATTATTAACCTCTTAATTAATTGCACGCCCACCCTACATTCATTTCGCTCTCTTTGCTTTCAGATGGCCACATGATTAACACCAAGTGCTCATCCTCGCACAATCGGCGGGCTCTTTGCTGCAAAATGTCCGTGGAATTCGACAGATTTCTTGACAGCGGCCGCAAGTGAGTACACTTTTCAATCTGCAAAAATTGAATAAATTGTCAACGTTTCGTGGTATTACTATTATGCTAAATAGATTCTAATCTTAATATAGGATAGACAAATTAGAAATTACAAATATAACTCGCGCATACATCCTCACAATTTTTACGGTCAATATCAGCTGATTGAGTCTTTTTTTATAGCATTTTTTTCGCTTTTCTCAATTAAAACCAATCTAATCAAATTTAATTACGTTCTTCAAACATATACAATATTCTCTCTAAATGTTCTAACCGTAACTTTCTTGTCAGATAGAAGTTATTCCCGTTTAATTAGCATGGACACTTTTATCGGCTTCGCGCAATAGGTTGATTTTTTTAACGCGTTCTTTATATCGCCGACGTGCCCGTCTCTCTTATTAAGATTTATATTTTCTTTCGTTTGAGGATCCAAGAGGATCTTGCTTAATTCGCGCATCTATAGAGTGTGAAAATATTTATGGATTATAATGCGCTGTTTTTTCTTCTTCTCAAAGAAAAGATAAGAATCACATTTACTTTTGCATTTTATTTCGCTTGTATTTCACACTCACATTCTAATAATAAGATTATGGTGTCGTGCACATGAGAAAGGATAGCATTGTCGCGACCTGTTCTCGGAACAATCATCCGATCTTGAGCCGATAAGTCGTAAGTACACCCGACATATCGCCATCCGGCCAAATAAATAAACCGCCGGTGAAAACAGGCCTTATCTAAGGTCGTTATCCGGTGTATGCCACACGCGTATCTCTTCTTCGAATAGGCGTCCGGGTCGCTATTACCGGTCCGCTATTCGATCGATAATATCCGATATCCGTTCAATGGAATGAATTCCGATTCTCTATTCGCGAATATCCACACGTTCACATATGATAAACAATGTCGCGAAACGTTGACAATTCCATGCCGGAGATTACGCGAGATATATAGAGATATATTATTGATGAGAAAGTATTAAATATATTTCATTCTTCATGAAATTGATGCATGTGAAATATTTATCGTAGTTATTTTACTCATACTAAGGATCGAACTCAATAATATACCGAGAAATTTGCATTCGCTATCAAACCAAGGAATTTGTTTTCTCTTCTGATTTGGACATAAATCAGTGGATTTTGGAGCAAAACATAGACTATATGATAATTTCGGAGTAGTCTCTCGCATTTCCGCTAATATTCATATCCAGAGATTTAATTATATTTCGAAATTAACTTACTTTCATGCCGCTTTTTAAAATTTATTTAAAATAATATTTTCTTTAATTTTTTTTAATTTAATTTTTTTTATACAATTGTAAGCAGCACTAGTTCCTTAAATTTGATTTTTCGAGATCTTTTAATGTTTAAACTATTTGTTGGAGGATTTTTTTATAAGAGATTTTAACATATATATTTTTCATGGTTATTCGATCCTGTTTCCCATCTGAGTTTTTATTTCTAGTTTTTATTTTCTTTTCTCTTGAGCTGAATGCTCAACTGACGCGCGTATCGCGTTCATGGAACAATCTCGGAGTATGAAGAGACGTTAATGGATTTGCATAGGTGCGTTTTTCGAATGGAGCGGCAGCTAGAAAAAAAGAGCACGGTTTTTTCGTGACGGTAAACGCGACTACGGTGCGCGTAGATATGGCAAACTTTGGTAACCCGCCAGGGATTTCCGCGTTGTTTGCGAATGAAGTGTTATTGCTGCGACTTGACCGTCGGAAATTCGTGTTTGCATAAGGTGGCCTAAACACCCACTAAAACGTACACGAGGCATCGTCAAAATATTATCTCTATGCGGAGTGGTAGCGCTTAGAAAAACATGTCTAATGGCTCGTCATCATCGTCGGATGACTGGTCGGAAACCAATTAACGTAGTCCCAAATCACAGTCGGCGGCTCCTTTCATTTTGGGGAAAACGTCTCCCTTTTCTTTACGACTTGTCCGCGTGCGTGTCATTGAAAGCTTTAAAACGAAAAAAATCCAAAGATGCAACGTAATCGTCCGTTTTGTCTCGTTTAAATGTGCGATATTTCGGTTGCCTAATCAAAAAATTCTTACATTAGCACATTCATTTTTCGTGCAAACTTTTGCATCACACTCGTTAGATATCTGATAATTATCGTAATAGAATACTAAGTTTTCTTTCTACAGTTTTATAGGTGTTTTTAAATTTTGTTACATAAACGGAAGACTTCGTTTTTTGGTCTCTTAGTATAACATTTTCATACGCCTTCCTTCTGGTATACTTATTTCAGCGGCTGCCTAAACAAGCGGTTTAAGTACTGATGAAAGATTGTTATGAGAAATTAACCTACTGAAAATTCCTAGTATAGTACAGTATCTCGTTTATATCTCGCGGTAGATTATTTTAATTAATATCTAACTAATATCTAAATAATATCTAAATAAATTAATAATAATATCTAAAAATTAAATAATAATATCTAATTAAATATAAATACATCTAAATAAATAATATTTTAATATCTAAATATAATCATTTGTTACATACATACTTTCACACTTAAACGATTTCTAAAAATGTAAGAGTTTACGTAATATCTTATATCTTATACCATTATCTAACTCATTTACGTTAATCTTCGAAAATCAAAGTATAGGAATATTCTTTCAAAGCTGTTAATATCACTTTTTTCCCGAATGAATACGCATTCTTTCTTCGTGATTCTCTTAGACTACCCCATAATAGTTCGCAGAAAGAACATTTCCTTTTGTGTTCTTTCAAAAAGTTTACAATGCACCGCGATCTTTTGGTACGAAAACGAAGGAGAAGAGGAAGAAAAGGAAAGGAGGGTGAGTTGTCTCTCGTCGAGCTCTCGTTCCTGCGTCGTGAAGACGAGACAGGCGGGGAGAGATTAAAGACGAAGAGAAGTGGTACCAGCTGGTCAGGAGAAGACGATTCAATCTCTTTCTCTTTCTCCTTCTTACCAGCCGAAGCCTTTCGAGAGAGCATCGAGAGGATGACAGGAGATAGCCAAAGAAAGAGAAAAAGTGTCTCGAATGTCACATGCGGGTTTACTATGCTTCTTTCTTATTGCTTTTTCCGTCGTTAACTACCTTCCTTCGCTTCTATGGGAACCTCTGTTGTCCTTCTAGCCTAGGTTTACTTTTCTCCCCCTTTTGCATACGCCGCATAAGAAGAATGAAAAATAGTGATAATTATTTTACACACAAAAATAAAGGAAAAATTTGATATAATATAATCACACAAATTGAAAAATGTTTAGTAAAAAAAAATGTATCTTGAATTTTTTAAGATACATATTTCAAATATTTAGGAGATAATCTTCTAAATTTAAATTTAAAAAATTTGAAAACAAAATTAGTAAATAATATTTTTTTGAAATTTAAAGAAATAAGCATATTAATTAATGATTATGAACCACCGAGATGCTATCGAGATGTTTTCGCAACCATAAGATTAGCTTAGTTGAGGTAACATATGTTCTTTTTCGCGGCGTGGAATTTCAGTGTTTTATTGCTAAACGTGTTAAAACTTCTCATTCATTTACATTATCGCCGACGATTTTACACCTCGCTTCGTCTAATTATACAAGTGTTTTACGCACAGCCATTCAGATCCTTGGAATCGATAAAAGAATAGCGGTAAAATGGCGCAAATTTACAAGAAAGCCATATGGAGATATTTTTAAACAGAATTTTTAAGAGCGAATGCTCTTTCAGTTTATTTTAGAAATTTTTATATGATTTTTATACAAAATTAATTTCACATGAGAACAAGTAAAAATCTTATAATTTCTTAGTTTCGCGTTTATGGCAATGTTTTATTTCTTTCTTTTATATTAAAGTCAATATTTTCTCATTAATCTTAGAATATCGCAGTCATGAATGAATTAACTATTTTTACTATCTCTATTATATTAAAAAGAGATTTTCGTACGGGTGAGAAATGCGTAGAATCATCAGGTCATCTTATCACATTTCCAACAAAATTTTGCAGTTTGCACAATGATACTACATTTATCATGTTCAAATAATACCTTTTTTCCGAGAAATCTTACAGCTGATATACTATCGGTCTTTTAAACTGGCGTTTTGAAAGAGGAATTCTGGAATAAGTGTATTTTATTATGTGAATAGTTTGACATTCTCCCTTAGAGAAAGAAATTAAATTTTTATTTCTTTTTAATTTGTAATATTTATAATTATGTTATGATTATACATAACGAGCGATAGATAACGACGAGGTTTACGTTCACGCGAGTATTCGAACTAGACGAAGCACATAATTTGTAAGGTCTACTTTACATGCGATTTTATAATTAAAGTCGATCGTGTCGATCTTATGCTCCATCTGTTAGACATGTTCCACTTTGAGCCGCGACATATGTATATATCGGTGCTCGCACAAGTATTCGCGTGTCGATCTCTGACTTTTAACACGTAGTGCAGATCAGAAGAGAAACTCATCCGTTTTTTTTTTTCGTACTACTTTGCTCTCTCGGATACCGCCGCTCGGGATGGTTTCTTGGTAATTACGGCGGATATCCTTGGATACAATTACGAGCGCCACGAGCGCGTTGCATCGGGAGGCAAAAAACTTGCACCGCTTCTGGACACAGAATGGTTCCCGCAATGGTTAACGTCGCGTGACCGCGTATTACACGTATATAGGGCTGCCGGTAATGCCGCATAATAAGCGTTTAGAGATGTCGGAAGGGGACCGCCTAGCGCTTTTCCTCGTTTATTTTCTCTTTCTTCTGCTTTACCGTGATTTTACCTCAGTGGCCACTGCGTCCTGCATCGCGTTCGTGCAGATTTCTTAATACGGTGACATAACAAATGGTACACTGAGAAAAAAAAACTGGTTGCATTAATTAGAAATCTGGTAGATTCAACCAGTATGTCTGTTGGAAAATGGACGAATCAAAAATTCCTTTAGGAATTACCAGATGAGTATGATTAATTTCTTCCTGTTAAATTTATCAAAATTTTCTGAGTAATAATACT